CAGAATCAGCCCCAAGATACAGCACTAAATAGCTCCCTTAATTAAACAGAGTTTAGGAGGGGGCACTAATAATATTTACCACACTCAGCTAGGTGAGCAAGGAAGGAAAATATGAACATTGTATAAGAACCAAACTTCACCCAGACCTTGCAGTCTGAGTCAACCCATCATGTTAACATATTGTTTTCCTTTGGCTACGTCTAGACTGGCCCCTATTCCGAAATAGCCATGCTAATTTCCAATTTTGGAATAGGGAAATCTGCGGGGGATTTAAATATCCCCCGCGGGATTTAAATAAGCATGTCCGCCGCTTTTTTTCCGGCTTGGGGAAAAGCCGGAAAAAAGCGTCTAGACTGGCGCGATCCTACGGAATAAAGCCCTTTTCCGGAGGATCTCTTATTCCTACCTGAACTGGTTGCAGGTCAGGGTATTAGTTAACACCTTTGTGTTGCTAAGGGAAAACTACTAATCTGTTTGTTTTTGTGTCATATTTTTATGATCTTTATTTGATCAGTTTATCCCAATCTGTATCATTTAGATGAGTCTTGTAACTTATTTTGATGTGAGCTGCTTCCTATTAAGCTAATTCTGCGGATGGATTCTGTCTTTTGTGAGTACATGTTTTCAAAGCTTGTGTCACAATGCCCCCATTTTTCCATTCCTCAGCAGACACTAGCTCATATAAACCATAAGACATTGCGTTTTGGTCAGCCAGTGGTGCTGGCAACGTGCTGTGGTTGACACTTCCCATACATATTTGGTATTGCGAGTTTGTGTGCTAGTGACTAACATCCATCACTGGGATCTTGATAGCTTTTTTCCCATTGACAAGCCTCATTCACATTGTGTCATCATTTGTAATAATACAAGTGCAATACTTTATCTTGATAGTCATGTGGACATTGCTTTTATTGAAGTGATATTCCAGACCAGTTTCTAGGTAATATAAAATTTGCAACATATGAGGAAGCCAAATGCTATAACTTTGCTTTATAGCGTTGTTAATAATTTATTTTCCTTTTTGGTTTGGTCATAGTATACTTCATGAAACCTTGGAGAGAACGATATTGTTTAACTTACAAATCTGGGATTTTGTATATCATTTGGCACATCTCTCATTTTCCTTGCTTTATTAGGTGACAAGAAATGACAGGACCTTATGTGTGTCATACACATAGTACTGTAGTGCACAGAAGTTGGAAACAGACAAGGGATGGATCACTGAAAAACCAACCTTTGTGTTCATTCCTTCTGAAGTAACTGGTACTGGCCACTGTCGTTATACCAGGCTACATGGACCAGCGGTCTGATCCAATATGACCATTCTTATGTTGTTTATGGCATGTTTATGCTACATGCCACATCATTAAAAGAGGTCCTTTCAGGCTGGATATAGCAGAGCTGTGGCAATCGCACTTCACTAATCTGTAAACCCTATGACTAGGGCACAAAAATGATTGTTTCTTCCCATTTTTAACTCAGATTTAATAGCAGAGCTTTACATTTATTATTAGAGTGTAAGTCCCAGAGATCTGCGTCCAACCCTGCACCTCACCCTCTGCCCACCCCACATTTACCTGCATCTGGTACCTCTCACCATCACATATGGCTAGTGCCCAGCCCCCGTTGTCATTGACCCCGCTGCCTCTCCTGCTGGTACAGACCCCAGTACCTGCCCTGCCGCTCTCCTGCCCGGGCTCCCACGTGGCAGCTCTGGCCCCGGCCCCAGCCCCAGCCACTGGACCAGCCTCTTGGAGCCTACCATGCAGCTCCTCCAGCCCTGGCCACCGGAGCAGCCACCTGCCACCCACCATGCAGCTCCTCTGGCCCCTGGCTGCCAAACCAGCCACCTGCCTGCTGCCTACCATGTAGCTCGTAGCTCCTCTGACCCCAGCCTCCAGATCAGCTGCCTGCCACCCACCATGCAGTTCCTCTGGTCACCTACTACCTGCCATCTGACATGTGGCTCTTCTGGCCCCAGCTGCCACCTGCTCTGCGTAGGAGATGGAAGAGATAGACATTTTTTCTGCATGCCTGCACAAGCTTGCAGCTTAGAGGGAACCTTACCCTGCATCATGGTCTCCTCAGTACCACCTGCCCCTTCCCACTGCCTCTATCAGAGGCAGCGGCGGGGGGCGGGGTAGGAGGAGGGATAAAGGAGGCTGCAGGGCTGGCCACAGACAGGGGCTGCTGCCACCAAGCAGCCCCTGTTCACGGCAGCCTCAGCTCTGGCAGTAGCTCCTGTCCACAGCCAGCCCTGGCTGTGGCAAGCAGAGGCTGTGCTGGCAGCAGACCACAGCAGCCATTGTTTGCAGCGGACAGGGC